TCCAAGATCTTGGGATTTCTCTAGTACGCCAGGATTTTTAAATACCTAACTCCATTGGGCCAGCTGCCTCCTCAGCCAAATCTTTTATGATTCTGAGATGCAAATTTTCTTGGCTACTGATCTGAAAATACTTATGCTTAATAGATGCTGTTAAAACCTTCCTTAGTTGGCAAATAGATTAGGAAGTTGTTTACCATCCTCATATAGTATGAATACACAATTCTATTTCCTTCTGTATACAAACAACTATCTTCTCTGTAACAAAAAGCCTCCATCAAAAATCTTTTCTATCAACAGTTTTACCTATATCCACCCAGTAAGAGTCTAGGCCATTGCTAGAATTTGTTGGTTTTCAATGTGTTTTGAAAAAATTCATTCCAAGTGCCATTAGCACTTACAGCAATCCTGTTTTTCAAGATTATTTTGAACACTCCTTATCACCTTGTATGCTTCATAAATTCTCAATTTTATTGTGTGCCATATACCTCTTTTCCATCCACACCTTCCTTCTGCTTTTTTTCCCCTTTTGGTTATATACAAGATTTCTAAGTATTACCTTCAAATTCCCTGTTGGGCAGGAAAAGCGTTTAATCATGTCTGTCTTTTTCACAACTACAGAACCACACATCTTCTCCATCTTGTAAACTTCTAGCAGTGAAATTTCTATTAAAAAATTTATTGTAACTTTCTCCTGGAGAGCCATATTTTTCCAATTGCTTGATTTGCAATCAGTTTAACCCATAACTTCCTCTGAGGATTCACCGTTTTCAAGTACAAATTTTGCCTACATATTTGCCCAACTTCACAGTTAAAACACATGCATACATAAATATCTTACTTAAACACCTGCCTCATAGGCAACAGCCAAAGGTACCTGTATACATCTACAGATACAGACCTACATACATGTGTAAATGCTGTATATACACATACATATATACAGTCATGCACTCACCTATATACAATTTAATTTTCCCTGAAAATGGAGAAGAGGCATTTCTAAAAATGTATGCATGTTGCCTATAATGCAGCAACCCAGCAAAGAGCTGAAGCTATTGATGTTGCCCTCCTAAGATGAAGACATGTTTTTCTGTGAGTCCACCTCAGCTCCTCCACCAAGGACAGCCCTACCCCTCCCATACCCACCAATAGCTCTGTTAATATTTGGACAGGGCTGGCTCTCCTGAGTAGCATGTGTCAAGGGATGGGAGACAAAGGACTGCAGGTGGGTGATTTCCTCTATTCTGAAGCCCTTAGAAGTTGCTCAGGCTTTGGTTTACCTGAAGAGGAGGGGAAAAAAAAAAGTAAGATGCAGAGAGACCAAGTGGTGCAAAACATCACCTCATGCTGCCTTCCACTAGAAATGAGTCTCCAGCTCATCCACTCCCCACCTTTCCCTCCAGGATCCTGGGATATCCTGACGTCCGTCTCTCCTGAGCCGGGGTACAGGGGAGAGGAAGATGCTCCTTGCTGCATCTTGCCCATGAGGGAAGTTGCTCAGCATTTTAAACTCCTACCTGCTCTTCTCCTGAGCGCAATGAAGAGGACAGCGATGAAAAGGATGGTAGCAATGAAACTCCCCACCAGTCCTTCTGATCCCGTTTGCTCTGCAGAGGAGGAGGAGGATCAGTGATGTCAGGCTGGCTGGAGCGGCTGAACAGCCAGCGAGTTGTCGCAGTTAAACGAGCTCCCCCAGCAACTGGCCATGTGCACGCTCTTGTCAGGTACACAGATGTGACAGGACACACGTGAGCTAAAGCCACACGGACCCAGGGCCAGTTATACTGGCTGGACTGATGTGTCATAACTTGTTGAAGTGCAGTATTGCTTGCTATTCCCTGGTGGGTCAGGAGGAGACATAGGAGCAATCTCCCATCAGCAAGGAGGGTCAGAACCCCAACAGCTCCAACGAGTGGAAGGATTTTTTGCTATAGTTCCTGAGCAGAATTGGTCTCCAGCTGAACATCAAGTCGAGCTGGGCATCTAACTCCTCAGGGCATGGCTGTTTTCTTGTGCCTGTCCAGCGGGGTCCAGCCCATGCGCTACAACCTTTTGCTCTGTTACTCCACTTTTGGTCATAAAATCTCTTTTCCCCTGAAGGAAATTAGATACTTGCTCCCCAAAAGCTGCAGGGAGTGAAATAAAGGCTGAGGAAGTGAAAGTGAAAGGGGAAAGCAGAACAGAGAGGATGAGTATGAGAGGACACAGGAAGGAAAGCAGGGAGAAACAGGCAGATGTGGTGTGACTCAGAGGTTTTGATCCCTGTGGTGGGCAGATGAGGTGGGAGGAGGTCTGGGCCGGATGAAGAACTCGCCCCTTTCCCCTTGACACCTACCTGGTACCTTAAGATGGGCACTCACAGAGATGGGCTCTGCCAGGGTCATGTGTGAAACATGGCAGCTGTAGGTGGCTGGTGCCCGCGCTGTGTCAGAGCTAATGCTGAGGTAGGAGGTGATGCTGTAGGTGCCATCTTGGCTTTGCCGGTGGCTGGAGAGATGCGCGTTTGAGAGAGGGATTTCCATGTCATCTTCAGGAGTCTTCTGTGTCCAGCTCACCGAGACGTCCAGGGGGTAATAGCCAGCAATGATGCACATCAGAGTAGTCTTCACATCTCTCTCAAATGACACCACTGCTGGAATAACATGAACTCTTGGAGGCTCTGAAGGAGATAATCAGGGAATTGACCTATTGTTAGCAGAGTACAAAAGTCCCCATCCACAAGGGAGAGAAGACGAGCTGCCTGTGATGATGAGTGTTAGCAGCAATGGGATAAGGGTGCAGGGCAAAGTTTCAGTGCCTGGGGACATGGGCCTCTTGTTGCACCCAGACATTTGCCTTCCTCACCGGCCACATGGAGCTGGATGATGTGCTGGGCCTGGTGCAGTGGGGTGGACACCAAACAGATGTACATCCCTTCGTCTTCCACGCTCACTCCTTGCAGGCTAAGCGATGCGTCTCCACTCCCCAGCAGCTCTGCCACATCCACGTGGACTTTTGGCTGCACTGTTGGGCCTGTGCTCCCCACCTGGTACCGGAAAAGGCTACGGCCGCTGCCTTGGTGCTGCCTCCTCCACTCCAGGGAGGACAGTGAGGAGCTGGGAGCCAAGGCAAAGTGGCAGTCGAGGGTGACTGAGCCACCAAGATGTGTGTGCAGGGAGGTGTTGTGTGATGAAGATTGAAATTCAACTAGAAACAGAAACACAGGCAAGCAGAGAGTTAAGCAGATGTGGTTCAAGAAGGAGCACCCTTGGGTTGGAAGGGCTGTCAGTGAACTACCCACCCGGAGGAGGAGGCACAGGCACCCTATTCGATGCCCCAGGGGCCATGTGGACTGAGGAGCTGGAAGAAGCCAGCCTGGTGGGATTAGCGGGGCAGGGAGACAGGTGGACACCAAGTGCATGTCATGGTCCTGATGCTTGTCATCCTCAGGGACTGGGATGTGGGAAACCCTGAGAGGGGGCAAGGTGGGGGTGGGCAATCTGCACGACCCCTTTTTTCCTAGGTACCAACTCCCAGCAGCCCTCAGGTCCTGGTGCCAGGTGGGGCATGGGACTCTTGGGGAAGCAGGTTCCCCTCCCCTCATGTCCCTCGGTGCTGTGGGGGCACCCCGGGCCACCTGGTCACCTGTGGTGAGCACTGTCCCCTCCTTCCTCATAGGAATCCTCAGCTTTGGGTGCAGTGTTGCATCGTGCTCCTCCTCCTGGCTGCCGCAGTGGGGGGCTCTGAGCACCAGGGTGATACTGATCCCGCTGGAGAGCTGCAGGGTGGCCATGAACCAGGAGGTACGGCAGGGACCCTTGCTGGCCTGCTGGGAGCTGTATGGGGAGATCTCGCAGTTCACCTCCTCCCCATCGCAGTCCGCGTGCAGCAGGGACTCTGCATGTGGGATGGATACCAACTGGGCTGTGGGGATAGAGGAAGAGGTTTAACCATCTGAATCCAAAAGGGAAAAGAAAGTACAAGATGATAAGACACATTATTCTGGAGAAGCATCATGCGCTGCAAGGGTCAGTCAGAGCCCAGAAATGCTAGGTTTAATAGATGAAGGCCTGCAAAGAATGAGAGGTTTGTCATGACTGTCTAACATCCCTCAGCCTGTTGGCAGTATTTTATCTTGCCAGATTGCACAGAGTTCATTCTGAGCAAAAGAAGCTGTTCTGAAAAGGCGAATAAACAGAACAGATTCCCTTTAGCTGTGTTTGTGCTGTGTATGTATGCCTCGTGTATGTGTATGCCCAGCAAGCTGTGTATGTGAAATGCCCAGTAAAGATGTGCAATGTTTATTCGTTTTAGGCCTGAATCCAGAAGGAAGAGGGATATCGAAGCATCCCAGGTAAGGAAAGAAAGGGTGGCAAGAAGGCAGGAGTGGCTGGATGTAATGGATTCACACTGTATCTGTGCCTTTGATCACAGCATGGGCTTAAGTGTAGGCGTAAGCATCCTAGTGACCTACAGGCTTTCCATGGACATCACTGGAAATTAACTCAGCATCTTCAATGCCTCACAGTAGCCTGGCTGCAGTGTGCTTGAACTCACCCATGCCCAGTCCATCCATGCCACTTGAAAGAGAACTTGGACCCAAGCTAATGGATCCTGCTGGGCCCTCAGTTTCCTCTCTGAAAATGTCTCAGAGCCTTGAATAAGCTTGTACTGAAGTACATGCTCACAGATAAGCACTGTAGGCAGCGAACAAGACCACAGTGAAGTACAGGCTCAGACCTTTGCTTGACTGTGTTTGCAAAGTTACATGCAAAGCAAGGGGAACAGAAGTCGGATGCAGGTTGGCATCCATGGGTGAAGTAAGGAGAGCCAAGTCACACACAGCTGGCCTTCTCAGCAGGACAGCTCAGCTTCATGCCCACTTACCATGACGCTTCCTGCTAGCAAAAACCACCTGCATGGCTGCAGATGTGTACAGTCTTTACGGGTGTGATGATACTGTATAGTGGAATAATTTCTGAGTTGTTTTTGACAAAGTATTTCCCAAGAAATAGGCAACCTAGGATAGCCCCAGTAGGAGAGAGGTGCCTCAACACAGTTTGCTAACATCATCCACAAAGGTCCTTTCTTAAAGTTCCAATTGATGAATTCAGGAAAACGTGTGAAACTTGTGGCCACTGAAAAACCGTCTAAACTCAGTTAAAGAAAAATCTCGTAGAAGCCTGGTGCACGTAAGTGGCCAAAAACCCGGCGGCAGCTCTCCCACCCCAGCTCTCCTGCTCACCTGAGGCTTCAAAGACAATGGGAGAAGAGGAGTCAGGATTTTCCTGTGGGCCTTTGTACTCAGTTAGGTCATCCAAGTTCCCATCATCTCTGACGCTGATACCCCTCAGCACGAGGGTAGCAGGATGCTCGGAGGACGAGCTGCCAAAGGCACGCAGCAAGCCTCTTACATCTTCCCCCACGTAGGAGCAACTCAGGGCAATATCCACCCTGCGAAACCGGGGCACTGGTGCGGGAGCTTTCGCTGGCCCTTTAGGGAGGGAAAAGAACTGGTTGAATGCGTGAACCCCACTGCAAACAAAGAAGAGTGTACGAATTTCTCTGGGAGTTCCCCCCT